AGACCTCTTTTATCATGATGTCATAGATTAGATGTAGTCAACATCGATATTATTGCTGCAATGTTGACTGAGAAACTCTTTTTTTTTTCAACTTGTACTTATTATTCACAGCACATAGTAGAATTTCGTGTATTCAAACGTTATTTACATTTCTTATAAATAAATTCTCGCAAGTAGATAATAAAATTAATTAAATTTTAAACGTTAGATGTGATGAAAAAAGGATTTATATAGGATTTTTTTTTCTATCTTCTTCTTTACGTTTGAAATGCGCCAAGCATAATTTCGATAGATTGACAATTAAACAATTAAGAGAAGAAATTCTGCAGAAGTTGTATAATTATTTTGTCAATCATAGACTAATATTGGATTGATTCACTACTGTTTTAAAGTTGATGTGATCTTTCAGACCATGTTTTCTAGTTTTTATATGATGTGCATTATATTTAAATATGAAACAGTCGAAAATGAGTTTTTAACCCACCCTCCAGAGTCATACCATTAAGCTATTACATTTATTTTTGAAAAAAAAGTACGAGTTGTAAGAATATAGAATAATAAACATAGCTTCGTATTTATGTCGTTTGATAACGCAGATAACTCCACTGTATTCTGCCATGTCTACAACACAGAACAAAAAAAAGAAAAACAGCTGGGAGATAACATCTTCTGACTGTTTTTTTTTCTTTGCTTTTATTGATCCTTAGCTGATTATCTTTTTCTAAAGATTGGCTTTTATGTAAAGAGAAACGATAACATTTTAGTTCGTTTTTCTCAGAACTACTTTTCTCGATAAGAATCAATAACTACTATCAATGACTTCGACTTCTTTGATATCTATCTGAATATATGAAATCTAATTTGTGTCCTGAATTGTTTAGATGACTCATCTTTGGCTCTTATCTCACATAGTTTTTTTTATTATTATCAGAACTATTTCTACGACTATTGGACTTCGAACTCAAAAAGGAATAATATATGGCAGACAAACTCAACATACAATTGAATATTTAGGGTAAATTCATAGATATCCTTAGAAAGAATTTCACCCCTGTAATAAAATTCTTTTAGAATTCAATATGCAAAAATTATTCGATGGAAACCACCAATAGATCTTGCTTCAGAACTTTTCCCAAACACTTCATTTCATGCGACATCATTTGGTCCATGTTGCCCACAAGCAACTAGTCCAATATATATTCCTAAACAAGATGAACAATGTCTTTATCTAAATATCTATAAACCCATAGTTTCATTAAATCACTCCTTATTATCAGTATTTGTCTGGATTCATGGTGGTAGTCATAGGAGAGGATGCTCATGACAAATTATTCCACTGTTATATAATGGTACAAATATGATTGCTCATTCCCCAGCAAATCAACCAGTAATTATTATCACAATTAATTTTCGATTAGGTGTATTAGCAGATATGTATTTAAAAGAATTATTTGAAGAAAAATCGGAATGGCCAACAGCTGGTTATTATATGTACTTAGATATGTTATCTGCATTACGTTGGATAAAGAAAAATATTCATGATTATAGAGGTGATCCGGATAATATTGCTTTATTTGGAGAAAGTGCTGGAGGACTTTCTGTTATCGATCTTGGTGGTGTCAAAGGATCAGTAAATCTTTATCGAACAGTAATAAGTCAATCAGGTTTAGGTTCACCTGGTACATATACATCTTATTATAATATGAGTCAGGCTTTGAATTATTCGAATTCAGTTGTTCAAAAGTTAAATTGTGCCAATAATGAACAAGATAAAGTACTTTTGTGTTTACGTAATTATTCAATTGAACACTTATTGACAATTTATGGGAATCGATATACAAGACCAATAATTGCTAATTATTTTTTTCCAAGATATCCTCCATTAGCAATTGAAAATGGGATGTACAATAAAGATCTTAGTCTTATTATGGGTAATAATGATAATGAAATAGCAGTATGTTATGCATATCCCGATATAAATTTTAATGAAACACTCTTGCATTATTATCTCAGTATATCGAAGAAAAATGGATCTCAAAAATTGTGGATTATTTTCATTTAAAAAATTGTTCGTCTGATCGAACTGCTGATGTGAATCGTTGTTGTGGTATAACTCATTTAATACTCATAGATTATCTTTTTGATTGTAATATTCGTCGATTATACAATGCTTTGTATTTAAAATATGGCTCAGACTCGAGGCGAAACAAATTATTTTGATATCATTTAAATTGTCATTCTGAGTGTGCTGTAAAACGTTATAAGGGTGTTTGTGTACATACAGCAGAACTTCCTTATCTTTTTGGAACTGTAAGTGATTATCTTTCAGTTGAAGCAGCCAATTCCAGTTGGGATAATTCATCACGAATATTTTCGAATGAAATGATTTCATATTGGACTAAAATAGCTGCTATAGGAAGACCATTCAGTCAATGGCCAAATTATGTTCCATATACAACAGAAAATTTCTATATAACATCTGATCAAGATTTTTCAACGATGATATGGAATAGAAATTGTTTGATTTTTGATCAAAGTGAAGAACAAGGAATGAAAGAAAAGTTTGGAAATAGTAGTCACACTTTTAAAGAAACATTTTTTATTATAAAAATATTTTTTCTGCATTTCATATTTTTATTTAATAAAAACGAATGACACGGTAATCGGAATGATTTATCAAATCGTTTAAACTGTTAGATGCACTTTTGATTCTGCAGATGAGGCTGTAAAAAATTACCGTATGACGCTAGAAAAATAATCACTAGCTAGAAGATTTTTAACCGATACAGAAAATTTATGAGCATTTTAAACAAGATGTTGCGACGTCTTGGAACCTTTTTTTCTAAAAATAATTAATTCGACATTTTCAGTACAGAAAATACTGATTCTTATGCTTCTGCAGATATTGATGTCACATATAATTGATTAAGAATTTTATTTTAGAAATAAATCCAAAACGCGACATGAAAAATGCAAACACACTAAAAATTGCTGGTGAAAAATTTTGAAGGTGTTGTGAGGATGATTATTTCAATGTTTAGATCATCTTAATCAATGATATTGATTAATTAAAAATCTGTAAATTATTATTCTTCATTGATGTTGAGAAATAACAATGATAAGTTGAATTTATTCGAATAGCTTGTCCATCATCAATTTTAACCAG